TTTTGGGTCGTTGTCCTGTTGCATCACCCAACTTCTACACAGTTTCAGCTGACGTACAGATATTCTCACATTATCCTGAAGAATTGTCTGATATACTTGGGAATTCATCTTCCCCTCAATGATTGCAAGCTTGCCAGGCCCTGATGCAGCAAAGCAGGCCCAAATCATGTTTCCTCCACCATACTTTACGGTTGTGATGTTTTCATGATGATGTACTGTGCCCTTTCTATGCCAGATGTAGTGCTGTGTGGTTTTTCCAAATAGTTCAGTCCACAAAACATTTTGCCCGTAGCACTGTGGAGTGTCAATGTGCTCTCTTGCAAACTTCAGGCATGCAGCAATGTTCATTTTAGTAAGCAGTGGCTTCCTTCTTTAGCTGTCATTCAGGGTTGTTTCTTTGCCTCAGATCTTTCAATTCTGAAAGATCAGAATTTTTTTGTTATTTTAGACACATTATATTTGTCAATACCCCTGACTTAGATGATCAGATCACATTTTATGACAAATTTTTTCAGAAAACCATGAAATTCCAAAAGGTTCATGATTTTTCTTGTCACTGTACATGCACATGAGCCCATTTCTGAGATGTCAGGCTTCTCAGACCTCAATATTTTTCTTCACATTCTAAGCAGCTGAGAGTCAGACACCTCCATTGTAATTAGTTTTTATATTGGCTTACTTGGACCAAACCAAGTAGTGGGTCGATTAATAATGTAAACAATAAAATAAATAATCAAAAACTAATCAATCACTCACACTTTTGCTGTGATAAAATTGAAAGTATTTTGCTTTTATGTATTAATAAATTCATAATTAAAAATCTGTTGAATCTGTTGTAATTGCTATAGAATGAATATACTTTTCAAAATAAAATCTTGCATTATTTCATCCATTAATTTACACATTTCTTAGTCAAGTCTATTTATTTATTTATTAATTAGTCCAGAACAAATGGCCATTTTCAATGTTATGCTTTTATAAAAAAAAAAAAAAATTACTGTCAACAGCCACAGATAAGTATTTTTTTTTATTTATGTAGGTGCCGGAGATGCTACATAACGATGCCAGTGAAGCTGGCTTCAGTCATTATGGATTCTTTGTCCTACAAAATGCTGGGATCCTGCTTGGTTTCGGCATCATGCTGCTCATCGCAATGTTTGAACATAAAATTCAACTCGGTATTGAATTCTGATTACATCAGCCCACTGCCCTCGGTTAACTCCTTTCATAGCTCATAGTGAAACCAAATTCATTAAACTGTAACTTTTTGCATTCATGTTTCATTTTACAGATATACGATTCTGGAATTTCCTGAATTTTGGAGAGGCTATTACATTATAGTCGACGTTCCAGTGTCTCACTAGGATACATTCTTAGTGATGGTCCTTTCTAGGCCCATCTAACAGTAGTTTTACTCTTTGCTACGGAAGTCCAAGAGACCATGCATTATTTTTTTATTTTATTTTTTTTCTTTCTTTCTTGTGATCTCCACCTAACAAAAGTTGTTTTGTGATCTTGACATAACAATAAACTATTCTATCACAACGTAATTTTATCAAGAAAATAATGTACCTTGTGAGTGGGACTGGTCTTGTATGCATGCTGGCACCATCACTATCATAAACTTAATAATTGCCCAAAGTAGATATGGAATTGACCTCTTTTAAGAGAGAGGGGTGTCCCCTTCTCAAGTGTCCACACTAATGTGGAAGTTGTCAATCACTGACAGACATGGAGCTATTTCAGCTTGTGAGTCCCTGATCAAAGTAATAGCCAATTTGTTCATCTATTATGCTGTGGGATTACACTATGCTTTTGCTGCCTCCAGAACAATAAAAACATATGTTGTACACCAGAAAAAAATAAGGCATGATCACAAGAAAATATCTTTGTTTTGTCACGGTCACACGAAAATGAAATTGCAATTATGAAAAATCAAGAAAAAATTATGCATGGCCTCTTGGGGCTTCTGTACTTTGCAGTGCAGTGTGTGATCATTTCATGTTTGGCTGTCTACATGGTCATCTGAGAGAGCAGAATGCTTGTGCTAGATAAAGCTGCATGAGCTCAATATACAGTGCTGTTATTTATGAGATTGATATAGCAATACAACAATTCATAGAAAAAAAGTGGGTGCCTTTTGATTGAGTGGTGTCATCATGTAGTTATTTATGTATGCTGCACAAACTGCAACAATATTGTTGAGCATTTTATGTGCTGTTACAGACTACGAGTGTAAATGTTTGGAGATTTTCTGTTTTCTTTTCACATTCCATTTAGGTGAAGTTTGTGGTGTTAGTAATTTTTTTTTTTTAAATAAAAACAAGTTGGATTTATTTGACTCCCTAGAATTTGTTTTTAACGTACAGTCAAAGCTATAGTGCCGCAAACATTTTCAGGTGAATATGGAAATATTTCATAAGTTTCACCCAAAACGTTTTCCAGGGTTGTGGGGGTAATAAATATTGTCTGGTAATTAAAGTGTAAAACTTCAAACAGAAAGATACTGGAAAGAAATTACATCACTGTGAATTAATCGAATAAATCTTTATTATTTGTAATTTGCTTAAAGTTTCTGCATGTAAGCTTTTGGAATACTACCCCTTGTGGTAGAAAAATGTAATAGCAACCTATTTGTTAGAACATTTTTTTAAACATTGTCATTCTCCTCTGTACAGATTTATCTTGTGCCAGTGAGTGCACAAGTTCAAAGATAATTCAGAGCAGTATCTAAACTTTGTTGCACACGGTCATATGGCTAAATAGCAATGACCGATATTGACTGACTGTGACCGTTGTGTGCTGGCACAGTAACCGAGAACCAAATGAAATAGATCGATCTGTTCTCATGCTGCTGAGTAGGTCTATGTGCATCTTCCATCCTGATGGGTGTGAGCTAGCCACCTAAATCTAGTATAGCTAGCTAAAATACAAAAATCAAGTTACTTTATTTGTGTATTTCTCAGTGAATCTGTGCTCTCTCTCTCTTTTCTTTTTTTTTTATTTCATCTAATCTATGCATTTTGTTCTCCAGCCTGTCAAAAATGTTAGGCATGAGCTGAATAGTTTAGCACACTAGCCAAAATGGAACAATACATTTGAGTTCCACACAAAGAGCGAGCAGACACCCTGGGTAACCTCTCCTGATATAAGCAATTGAAAACTATAATGATACAAAATCTACAATGAGGATAATCCATTAACCGCCTTGAAAATATAATTGGCAGCCAGGATGACCTCAGCTGGTTCGCTTCCTGCCTTATGTGTACAGTGCTGCTTGAAAGTTTGTGAACCCTTTATAATTTTTTTTTTTTGCATATATGACCTAAAACAACACTAGATGTTGTCAGAAGTCCTAAAAGTAGATCAAATTAAACAAATGAGACAAGGAATGTTGCTTATGGTCATTTATTTATTGAGGAAAATTATCCTATATTCACGTGAGTGGCAAAAGTATGTGAACCTTTTGCTTTCAGTATCTGGTGTGACCCTCTTGTGTATCAACAACTTCAACTAAACGATTCCAGTAACTGTTAATCAGTCCTGCACATCGGCTTGGAGGAATTTTAGCCCATTCGCAGTACAGAACAGCTTCAACTCTGGGATGTTAATGGGTTTCCTCACATGAACTGGTTGCTTCAGGTCCTTCCACAACATTTCTATTAGATTAAGGTCAGGAATTTAACTTGCCCATTCCAAAACATAAAAAAAAAAAAATTCAATTCAATTGATTTGTATAGCGCTTTTTACAATAGACATTGTCTCCAAGCAGCTTTACAGAAATATCAGTCTCAACACGGTATACAGATATTAAAGGTGCGAATTTGTTTTCTTGTTCTTTATCCATTTTTGGTAGAACAACTTTTGTATTTGGGGTCGTTGTCTTGCTGCATGACCCATTTTCTCTGAGTTTCAGTTCACATACGGGTCCTGACATTTTCCTTTAGAATTTGCTGATATAATTCAGAATTCATTGTTTCATCAATGATGGCAAGCCATCTCAGCCGATATGCAGCACAACAGGCCCAAACCATGATACAACCACCACCATGTTTTACAGACGGGATAGGATTCTTATGCTGGAATGCAGTGTTTTCCTTTGTCCAAACATCATTTAAACCAAAAAGTCTTATTTTGGTCTCATGCATCCACAAAACATTTTCCCAATAGCCTAATTTGTTGTCCATGTGATCTTTAAACTTCAAATGGGCAACAATTTTATTTTGTAGAGCAGTGACTTTCTCGCTACAACCTGGCCATGCACACCATTGTTGATCGGTGTTCTCTTGATGGTTTACTCATTAACATTAGCCAATGTGAGAGTGGCCTTTAGTTGCTTAGAAGTTACCCTGGAGAACCTGGAGCCTATCCCAGTTGGCATTGGGTGCCAATCCATCGAAGGCACAATCACACACCCACATTCAAACTCCACACACAGGGCCCCGGTGGGAATCGAACCCCGGAGGTGTGAGGCTAACCACCAAGACACCGTGCGCCCCTGATCATCATCCCACTGATTAAAAACACCTGACTCTAATGTCTCCTTCAAATTAACTGCTAATACTAGAGTTTCAGATACTTTTGCCGATATGTAATATTTCTCATTTGTAAGTCACTTTAGAAAAAGCATCTGCTAAATGAATAAATGTACATTTAATATTGGATCATTTTCCTAAATAAATAAATGTCCAAGTATAATATTTTTATATCATTTGTTTAATTGGCTTCTCTTTTTTTTACTTTTAGGACTTATAATGAAAGAAATCTGATTATGTTTTAGGTTATATTTATGCAGAAATATGGAAGTTTCTGAAGAGATCACAACCTTTCAAGCACCACTGTAGGACATTTTCATTTGCACACTTTTCAACGTACATACAAAATGTTGTGGCTCAGGTGGCAGAGTGGGTTATCCACTAATTGTAAGGTTGGCGTTTTGATTCTGGCCCACGTGCCGAAGTGTCGGTTGAGCCTTGTTCAAGGGCCCAGCAGTAGCAGCTTGGCAGTGCTGGGATTTGAACTCATGGCCTTCCGATTAGGAGTCCAATGTCCAAACCACTGAGCTGCCACATCTGGTTAAGGCGAACTCAGATTCTGAACACAAAGTTTTACATTAAGCATTTTACATTAACATGGCTTAATGAACTAAGACAGTGATATTGGAAAAACAAATTTAGCACATACCTTATTAATATATAGTGTACATTATTGAATGAAAAGTAGCATCAGGGTGTATTTGTCCTGTATTTGGCCTTGAGGTTGATGTGATTTAATTAATGTACTTGATAATGGGAACATTAGCGGTGTGTAGTCCAACTCAGTCCCATCAATTTGGCCCTATCAGGAAACCTATATAACCATATGAAATTATATATTATGTCTGAATGAATGAATGAATGAATGAATGAAAGAAAGAAATCTAGAGGTGAGCTAAATTTAACAAGTGAACTATTTATTTAATTACTTATATAACTGCAATATTATACAGAGAACAACGAAGTATGGTGCGCTTTTACGGCGTGGCCGTGAGGGGGCAGTGTGAGAGGAGCTGCACCAGTTGAGCCGCTCTTGCTGACTCGCTCTTTTCCGGTGCTGTAAACGCTGGCAACACGTGCGTTACTACAATGGCACTCTACAACTTTAAAAAGATTATGGTGGTCCCCACAGCAAAGGTAAGCTTTTAACCTGTGATTTAAAAAAAAGTGTTATGTACGTCGTTACGTGCCTGGTATTATTGTTCTTACTGTAAACGCGTCCGCTTTTGACGCGCATGTCACTAAGGTAGCTGGAGGTAGCATGTCTAGCTAACGTTACTTACAGCTACAGTAAATCGAGTCCCTGATCGTTTAAATTCAAATACATTTTTAATTTCAACCAGTTTTAGCTACGAGTTGTGAATAAAATGTGTAGATTTTTTTCGTAGATAAAAAAATATTTTCGCTATACCGATCGTTTTTATTTTGAGTACAAAATCCACAAGTGCGATAGATTGAAAATGTTTTAGGACTTACAAAGTATCCATCATCTGCGTCCATAATCTCTAATTATGATGAAGAACCACAATGAAATAACATTTCTGACCACACTTCGGGTGCTTTAAGAATGTATGTGCTTTTTTTTTTCTTACTGGAAATACATAAGTGTCTTCTCCATTAATGCTGTGACGTGACGACAGTTCAACATTGCCATGTGTACAGGTTGGGTATATCGTAGTCGGTCTTATTGCTACACAGGTTTCTTTCTCAGCATGTTTGCGCCATTGGACACATGAGACAGCTTTGACGCTAAACCTCACTCCACGCATGCGCATAACTTTGGGTAGGCTAAATATTTATATATGCATTTAAATATTGTCTACAGGGTGCCCGTTTTAGGATATATAAAAGCAGTTTATTAGGAAACTGTAGGTGAAATAATATTCATTCTCTTTGGTGAAAACTGCTGATAAAATATAGCCACTGCAGCCTCTAAACTCCAGTCATCTCTATTCCTGCTGCACTACATTCATACAGTACAGCACTGTTAGTACAGCTACATTCATACAGTACAGCACTGTTAGTACAGCTACATTCATACAGTACAGCACTGTTAGTACAGCTACATTCATACAGTACAGCACTGTTAGTACAGCTACATTCATACAGTACAGCACTGTTAGTAGCTATTCATACAGTACAGCACTGTTAGTACAGCTACATTCATACAGTACAGCACTGTTATTACAGCTACATTCGTACAGCACTGTTAGTACAGCTACATTCGTACAGCACTGTTAGTACAGCTACATTCGTACAGCACTGTTAGTACAGCTACATTCGTACAGCACTGTTAGTACAGCTACATTCATACAGTACAGCACTGTTAGTACAGCTACATTCGTACAGCACTGTTAGTACAGCTACATTCGTACAGCACTGTTAGTACAGCTACATTCATACAGTACTGTTAGTACAGCTACATTCATACAGTACAGCACTGTTAGTACAGCTACATTCATACAGTACAGCACTGTTAGTACAGCTACATTCATACAATACAGCATTCAGTACAGCTGCACTCATACAATACAGCATTCAGTACAGCTACATTCATACAACACTGTTAGTACAGCAACATTCATACAGCACTGTTAGTACAGCTACATTCATACAGTACAGCACTGTTAGTACAGCTACATTCATACAGCACTGTTAGTACAGCTACATTCATACAGCACTGTTAGTACAGCTACATTCATACAGCACTGTTAGTACAGCTGCACTCATACAGCACTGTTAGTACAGCTGCACTCATACAGTACAGCATTCAGTACAGTTACATTCATACAACACTGTTAGTACAGCAACATTCATACAGCACTGTTAGTACAGCAACATTCATACAGCACTGTTAGTACAGCAACATTCATACAGCACTGTTAGTACAGCAACATTCATACAGCACTGTTAGTACAGCTACATTTATACAGTACAGCACTGTTAGTACAGCTACATTCATACAGTACAGCACTGTTAGTACAGCTACATTCATACAGTACAGCACTGTTAGTACAGCTACATTCATACACTGTTATTACAGCTACATTCGTACAGCACTGTTAGTACAGCTACATTCGTACAGCACTGTTAGTACAGCTACATTCGTACAGTACAGCACTGTTAGTACAGCTACATTCATACACTGTTATTACAGCTACATTCGTACAGCACTGTTAGTACAGCTACATTCGTACAGCACTGTTAGTACAGCTACATTCGTACAGCACTGTTAGTACAGCTACATTCGTACAGCACTGTTAGTACAGCTACATTCGTACAGCACTGTTAGTACAGCTACATTCGTACAGTACAGCACTGTTAGTACAGCTACATTCGTACAGTACAGCACTGTTAGTACAGCTACATTCGTACAGTACAGCACTGTTAGTACAGCTACATTCATACACTGTTATTACAGCTACATTCGTACAGCACTGTTAGTACAGCTACATTCGTACAGCACTGTTAGTACAGCTACATTCGTACAGCACTGTTAGTACAGCTACATTCGTACAGCACTGTTAGTACAGCTACATTCGTACAGCACTGTTAGTACAGCTACATTCATACCGTACAGCACTGTTAGTACAGCTACATTCGTACAGCACTGTTAGTACAGCTACATTCGTACAGCACTGTTAGTACAGCTACATTCGTACAGCACTGTTAGTACAGCTACATTCGTACAGTACTGTTAGTACAGCTACATTCGTACAGCACTGTTAGTACAGCTACATTCATACAGCACTGTTAGTACAGCTACATTCATACCGTACAGCACTGTTAGTACAGCTACATTCATACCGTACAGCACTGTTAGTACAGCTACATTCGCATACAGCACTGTTAGTACAGCTACATTCGTACAGCACTGTTAGTACAGCTACATTCGTACAGCACTGTTAGTACAGCTACATCTGTATAGCAATTGTTAGTACAGCTACATTCGTACAGCACTGTTAGTACAGCTACATTCATACAGCACTGTTAGTACAGCTACATTCATACAGTACAGCACTGTTAGTACAGCTACATTCATACAGCACTGTTAGTACAGCTACATTCATACAGCACTGTTAGTACAGCTGCACTCATACAATACAGCATTCAGTACAGCTACATTCATACAACACTGTTAGTACAGCAACATTCATACAGCACTGTTAGTACAGCTACATTCATACAGTACAGCACTGTTAGTACAGCTACATTCATACAGCACTGTTAGTACAGCTACACTCATACAGTACTGTTAGTACAGCTACACTCATACAGTACTGTTAGTACAGCTACACTCATACAGCACTGTTGGTATCGTTACACTCATACAGTAGACCACTGTTCGTACAGCTACACTCATACAGCACTGTTAGTACAGCTATTCATACAGTAATGTTAGTACAGCTACACTCATACAGCACTGTTAGTACAGCTACATTCATACAGTACAGAACTGTTAGTACAGCTACATTCATACAGCACTGGAAAGGAAAATGTCAGGACATCTGTCCATGAACTGAATCTCAAGAGAAACTGGGCCATGCAGCAAGAAAATGATCCTAAGCACACAAGTAATTCTACCAAAAAATAGTTAAAAGAAGAATAAATGTAATGTTTTCGAATGGCCAATCAAATTCCTGACCTTAATCCAATAGAAGCATTGTGGAAGGACCTGAAGCAAGCAGTTCATGTGAGGAATGGGCTAAAATTTCTGAAAGCCGATGTGCAGGACTGATCAATAGTTACCAGAAACTTTGTTACACTTATTGCTGCACAAGGGGGTCACACCAGAGACTGAAAGCAAAAGTTCACATACTTTTGTGACTCACAGATATGTAGTATTGGATAGTTTTTCTCAATAAATAAATTACCAGATATAATATATAATTTGTTTAATTGAGCTCTCTTGATCTACTTTTAGGACATTTGTGAAAATCTGATTGTTTTAGGTTATTTTTATGCAGAAATATAGAAAATATTAACGAGTTCACAAGCACAAGGGTTGCAAGCACCACTGTAGTTTGGGTACTTTTAAACTTTGTTGCTTTGCTGTACTCTGCATATTGAGTCGGATGTTAAGCTTTCATGCGGTGTACCACACTCAGACCTGTGGTAGAAAAGTGCATTGGCATGGATGTACCCCATCTTGAAACCTTTTAAACCATTGCTTTTAAATTTCAGAGTGCTTATTTCAGGTTGCAGCAGTTTTTAATCATTGTGTGGTTCATTGAGAGCTGGAAGAAGCTTAATATACAAGTTTAAACTAGTCAGCATGTGAATCTTACACACTGTTTCCTCTTTGTTCCTTCAGGATTTCATTGACCTGACGCTGTCCAAAACCCAGCGCAAAACACCTACTGTGATTCACAAACATTATCAGATTCATCGCATTCGTCACTTCTACATGCGCAAGGTTAAGTTCACACAACAGAACTACCACGACCGTCTCTCGCAGATCATAACAGACTTCCCCAAGCTGGATGTGAGTTTCACAGTTGAAGCTTTTTATTACTTGGTGTGTCAACTTAGT